AGAGCATAAGATGCATGGGATTGAAGAACAAGGCAATGTGGAGTCAGGAGTAGAAAGGAAAGTCATTTGGGCGTTGTTCCACTCATGCCCAGACACAAGGCTGAATGAAATTTTTGCAGGATCAAGGAGCAGGAAAGACGCAAGGTTAAAAGTGGGGAAATGGAAGCCTGCGCAGGACGAGGATATGGTCGAATAAAAACCACCGTCCAGACAGGACCTGCGCTGGTGGCCATACAGCAGCAGCAACCCTGGCACGACTCGCTCCCCCTTAAGAAACAACCAGAAAGGGCAGGGAGAAGAATGGAGGCTCTTGCTCTGCTTGGTCTTGCAAAAGAGTAGACTAAAGGGAAGAATAGATGGGAGTGGGCAGGCAGAGTTGTCTGCTGGAGAAGATGCTGTTGATTTATAGTGAGATCATGGGCAAATCGCTTCCCCACTCTGTTTTTCCACTGCAGCTGAGCTGTTTCTTGCTACATGCATGGACAAGTGTAATAGTGCTCCTACAGTGCTAAAAAAAATAAAACCGAAATATGTGCCACTTCCATTAAAACTAGAAGAGCATTGCAAGGAATCAGATCCCAGGTCTCCAGTTCTTGTTATTTGCACACGTAATCCTTGCGGATTTGGCCTTCCTTATAAAAATGCCACCTGAGTTATAAAGCCAGTGGTCACAAATAATCTTTTCCACATATTTTTCTTTGTAGGAAAATGCTCCAGGACAAACCAAAAGCTGAGGTACGTGATGCAACTCTGGGAATTTCAGGAGAGCTGCTCTCACTTACACTGCGTTCCAGTTCAGCCCCTGTGGGATGCTCCTAGGATGCCAAACTCACAGGAGATTTCTGGAGGTGTGGGCTGAGGGCTTGTCCACAGGCAGCAGGCAGGGATCCTGAGCTAGCTATTTTTTATCAACCCCCAGAAGCAGAACAGACGCTGCGCTGCTCCGGTCTCCAGCTCGCATCTCCACGTGGCCCTGCCATGTGGAAGCCCTGCCACGTGCTTGAGGTTCTCCACCCTGTGCTCCATGGAGAAGAGGGTTGTGCTGAGGAAAGCAAGATTGGTCTAATTTGTTAGAACTGGCTATTAAAATTGCAGCAGGTTTCCGAAGCAGCTGATAAAAAACTGCATCTGCAAGCTCCATTGCCTGGTGTTGCCCAGGCTTGGCTGCTCCTGCTGACCAGCCTGCTGAGGCTGGGACGGAGTCCCGTGCTCAGCCCTGCCCTATAAAGGGGAGTTACTGCTCCAGCAGCGCCTTCTTGAGTAGCGCCTTCCAAGATTAACACGTGTCAGGGAAACAGCTACAGAGCCCTTCTCCCATCCAATGCAGCCAGCTCTGGGTTTGGCATGCCCATCATCACCTCAGTGTTGTTGAAAGTAATTGGAGATTAGGCATCTACACACCCTCGGAAATTTAGCACCTGCTCAAGTGACTGCACAGCTCAGTGCCCTTTGAATCGTATTCTGGTCATGTAAGGGGGTGCTGAGCTGCGAGGCAAGTCCGTCAGAAACACCTTGCAAACTCCAGTGTTCCGGTACCCGTAGGGATGTGTGAAGACAGTGGTAAACTGGCAGAGTTAAAAAAGTGGGTCAACTCACCTGTTAGGTATTCTAGGTCAGGTAGTAAGAAGCAAATAAGCTCTTTACATTGCCTAAATTACAAGTGGGTAAACTTCATGTACTGGCATTTATTCCTGACTACCCTGCTAAAGGAATGCGCTCCAAAATGGCCTGTGCTGAAGAGGAGAGAGTCAAGTGCTTTTGACAGAGCGAACTAAGCCGGCGGCCCCCAAACGGGCTAGCGTTAATGGACCTAACGCTTCCCCTCCCCTCCGTGGTGCGGTAACTTTTCTCTAGGGATAAAGCTTAAGAAAGAATCAGCCAAGCCCTTGTGTAGCTTGTGGTTTGGCTTCCTGCCTGCTCTGCCCTTCAAGCAGGAAATTCTCAAAGGGAAGGGAGCGCTTTGTGAAGGCACCTTAAGACTCTGCATCTTCTCTTTTAGTCAGAACTTAGCATCAGGTCATCTGGAACTCCTGGAAGCTGACCAGACAGACTGATGGCGCCTACAGAAGGTATTTAAGCAACTTCTCTACCTTGATCATTTTCCCTCATCTTCTGTCCTTTACGTCCTTGATTGCTGTTATTCAATCCTGAGATAATACGCTCCTGATATCGCCGAGATGGGAGAGACAAGCAAAGAGGAAGAGATCAAAGGAAGGAGAAGAAAGAGAAGATGCCAAAGGCAGAAGAAGAAAGAGGGAAGATGCCAAATACTTCCTTGATTTACCTACTTTACATACCCGGTACACAAAGTTTCAGAAATTCTTAATATACTTAATTTTCCGAGTTCTGGGGTTACCACGTAGTCACCAGACAGCAGGAGACCGTCAGCAGGGGCCAGGGGCATCCTCTTTCCACCAGCAGAGGAAGTAGCTTGAAAGCTGGCTCCAGAAAGCCCAGGAGGCCCTTGGCACCTGCGAGTGTTGGCGGGACTTGAAAAGAAACCCGGCAGAGCGCAGGCCGGGAGAAGAGTGCGGTATTAAAATATCTTTCTGCTTCCCTCTGCTGGCCGGATAACAGAGGTACCAAATCAGGGAAGGATCAGGGTGAAGAACAGCAAAAGGTAGGAGGGGTCGTTTTGTGCTATCATCACTACACAAGCATTAACTCCACCGGTTTCCTTGAGTTTGCTCCTGAATTTCGGAAGAAATGGAACATATATGAACGTGTCCTGGGGAGCTCGAGAAGACTGGAAATGGGACCAGGGCCAATGCTGGGTGGGTGAGAGATGGGGAGGTGGTACAGACGAGGGTGCTATATGTAGAGTAATCTCAAGGTTTAAACCAATAATATCGTATTACCACTTTTCTCATACTGTTATCAGTTGTGATTACAAAGCTAATTTAACAACCTTGATCTAAACTTAATTGCTATTCTTGTTGCAAAACAGGATCATTATGAGTTGCAAAAAAACTCAAAACAGACATAAACCTCAAACATTTTTGTTACTCACTTGGTTATACTGAAATCTCTTTGACTGAGAATTAAATCTCTTTTTTTCCGAGTTTGAGATTACTTTCCTACAGTGTTTATAAAGACCGGAGGAAATCTCGAAACCTAAGAGGAACAGCCAATGATAACAAAATTCTGAATATGGAGATGCAGGAAGCATGTACCTACAACGCCAGCTTTCATTTTTAAATAGGATGTGTAAGTTAAAGGCAAATCTAATGTTAATGCAGTGTTCGAGTCAAGAAATCGGCAGTCATTTCTGCATTTAATTTCCCTGTTGTATTTAAGAAGCACAGGGAAAAAAAAGCACTTCGAAGCACTGCTATTGATGATGGGTTTAAGGGTGACTCAGTGCTGTTAAATGGCTTTTGCGGGTTGTCCTCATTTACTGAGTCAGGCATCTTAACCACTCGCTTCACGGGGCTGACCCTCTCTAAGCCGAAAATCTGAGCAAAGTGAGTGCCCCGGCTCCTGCCGAACTCGGACGCTGAGCTGCCTGGTGCCAGCCAAGAAGCGCTGCAGGCCTGGAATCAAGTGCCTTCTCCTGGCAGGGTCATTGACTGCCCCGAGATGGCGAGGTGGGAGCTACTACAGTTTTTCAAATTGCACAGTCTCTCCCAGACCCAGCATGACATCAGTGATACCTCATCTAATCAGGCTCTGGTGTGATTACTGCCAGTCACAGAGCTGCACTGGCAACAGCGCTGCATTAGGGAAGTTTAAATATAAGGTCACTGAGAATGTAAGTGTGCCTCCTACCAAGGATAGTACAGGTCCTAAGATGGGCTCTGCAACGAGAGGGAAGGTCAGTGCAGGGAAGAGGCCTGAGCAGCTGCCAGGGACGGGCTCTTACGGGGCGGTGTATGGGACGAGGAGGTGGTCAGTGCTGCAGGGCAGCAAACAGCAAACTTCCCGCTGCCTTCCCGAGCACACAGCAACCGGAGGGTTATGATTTGATACCGTTTCTTACTCCCTCGTGTTGGTTTGTCCCCAAGGAGAGCAATTTTGGACCTGAAACACCTCTAACCGGCTATATGTGGACATAAATTGTTCCGGATGCGACTTCCTACTGATTGTTTATTTCATGAACCCTTGCTGTGCTTTGAAAGAAAAACCTTTGCGTGGTTGGGGTTTTCCTGCTTCAGCTGTGAGATGATTATTGTAAGTGCTGTTCCTGTCCGCTACGTGGCACCGAGCGGTGCTGTTCTGCTCGATGCACCTCGTGCTCCAGAACATCCCCGAGTACCTGCGGAAAGGCAAGCATCCACGTCAGCCCTACCGCGCATCAAATATAACGACTCCGTGCAGCGCCACCGCTTTGTTTCTACAACAAATCAGCGCTATTGACGTGCAGCAGGCGGGCAGGGCGGGGCTGGCGTTCTACAGCGATGCAAAGGGTCGGCCATAACCCTCCTTCTCGCCAGGAGACGCAGGGCGATGATGAGGGGAGGCGGCCTGAGGGAAAGCTCCCTTGGGGAGCGACAGGAAGTAACGTCACGGCTCCGCTCCGCCCACGTGATGGCGCGGTGCACGCTGGGAATGGCGGGTACCTGACCGGGTGAGGCTGCGCGCCGGGGGTGCCCCCCGCCCCGTCCCCGCCCAGGTGAGGCGGTGCGGTGCGGTGCGGTGCGGCGCGGCGCGGCGCGGCCGGGCGCGGCCTGTACCTGCCGGGCCCCGGCCGCGCCGCCCG